GTCCTGTGAACCCAAAAGAGCCTGTGCCACGTCTGTGGTAAAAAGTATACTAATTGTGCTATTTAGCTCCCTGCTGGCACAGTACATGGTGGTATCGGAGTCCATGCCATTATCTTAATTTCTCCTTTGATAACTCCAGGTAACACAAATAGCCCTTCTCTCGTTGTTGAAGATCGCCTGATTAACAATGCTGCCATTCCTTGCCCCAGGGGGCTGTGGATGCCAGTGGGAATTATCAGTAATTATCACTTCTGTTGTGGTGGCCAGGTCCACCCCAGTGCTGCTGCTTGTGCTGGCGCACAGGTGGCGGCTGCTGGCTGCTTCCCAGTGGGGCCACACCGAGGGGTGATTTGCTGTCACGGCGGGACCCCTCGCCAGGCTCTGCTTGAAGTTTCCCCAAAGGTCGGCCAGCGGTAGACCTTCCTTATCAAGTTTAGATTGACACTGATTAGCATACTGTTGTCCTTTGTGACAGCGTGGACATATTCCGGGTGCTCCTCCTTTGTTTGCTTGTGTTTTTGGACAATATTTATGAATATGCCCAAATCGGCCACAAGCAAAACAGGGATTTTTCATAGACATTGTTGCAAATGCCTTGGCCATCAGAGAGCATTCATACAGTTTAGAGCCGACATTAATGCATGCTTTCAGCATGTCATCAATAGTAGGACCCTTTAGTGCCTGCAAAACTCTCTGGCAATCAGGGTTGGCATTCTCAACTGCTAGTTGTTTAAAAATGTAGCTTTGGGCTTGTCCATTATCAATCTGCTTCTCCAGAGCCTCACTAAGCCCATCCAAAAACTTCATATATGGCTCATTCACATCTTGCCTTTATCTTACAAAAGGCTGTCATTGTTTACCAGCCTCTGGGACGGCCTTAAGGGCCCGGAGAGCAAGTGCCTTAACTTGCTGCCTCAGGGGGAATTCCTGCCTGTACTGTTGTAGCACTGTGGTCACCCTCCCCCATTGGTATGCCCGCAGTAACAGCCCATAAAGGACCTCTTTTCGACAGCCGCTGGTTTTCCTCCCCCTGTGCTCAAGCAAGCTGTCTCATTTTTGACATTTTTGACATTGTATATTGCATATCATTCATAATCAGGTGGAACAAAGTTTTAAAATCATGGAGAGTAAAAACCAAAGTATCACAAAGAGATTGTATAAGGTGGGTGGTGTATGGTGCGCCAAGGCCATGATCTGTCACCGTTCGTCGCACATCCTTAATAAGCTTATACGACAATCCTTCCCAATGCGGATTCTGGTCTGGCGCATAGATAATGGGGAGCACCTGTTGTGCTCCTTGTGCTCTCTGAAGCCCATTTATCATGTGGATCTGGGGGGGTACAGGTCTGGCTGCTTTTCAGGGTCAATAGGACCCAGGTCAAAAGGATCATCATCCTGATCATCAGGTGGCAGTACTGCAAAGGCTTTTGCAGCAGGTTTTCTTTTCTGATTCTCATCAGGACATGATTGAAGTAATGGAGGCGCGGAGGGGATGGCAGGGGCCCCGACCCCATCCTTTTTATTCGACTGCGACCCACTGTGAGATTTCAATGTTTCGAATACAACTCGCCATTGTGGCAACAGGCCAGAAGCAGCCTTATCACCGCGAGTGGCACAGTCCCACAGTCGGACCCCAATTTGGTCCCACTTCTCCGGATCAAATACATTCTTACTGTTTATGGAAGGGTCGTTTTTAGAAGCCCGTGCAAGAACTTTTTGTAGATCTTCCTCATCTAATTTCTTGCCCTGTTGTTTTAAGAGCTTAAGAAAGATTTCTAAAACATCTTTTTGTTCCTTCGTTAGGTGTAACCCCACTGTTACCTTGGCGATGGGGGGGGGTTGCGGTCCTCCTCCTTTTCCTGCTCTGTTGCTCTGTTCTTTATTTGCTGATAAGACTGACATCCTTGTGGTTAATTATCTACTAACCAGGCATCCACTAACATCTACTAACAAGGCATCTATTATCTACTAACAAGGTACTATTGTCTTTGAAGGGAGCTTCCACAAAAAAGGGTTTCAGGAATGATTAATGCAAGGTCTAAAAATGTAGCCTGCTAAATTAGAGAAATGAAGGTAGAAAAGATACATGTTAAATTTATGATGAAGGGGAGTTACTACAGATGGGATGTGCCCACCATTCCAGTAGTAATGAGTAAGTGGAGTTGGCTTTGGCCACAAGGGCATGGCTGGCTCT